TAATAATAATAATTATTATTATTAATGATATTATATTGTTATCAGGATTATTATCATCAGTATCATACAGTATGCGGTTGCATTTTAAAAATATTATTACTATTAGTGTTGGTGAGGAACTGGATAATAAATTTTTAAAGATATTGTACAGAGGACGACCTTCTTGAACTCTGCGTGCCCGAATTCCATTCTCATTTTACAGTTATAATTTTTTCAATTCTGATGCGAGATGACAACTGTTTGAACTGAAGTGACACCATTTGTCATTATACTTTTTGGTTGATAGAAATCTAAATCCAGTTCTGAGAATTCAAACTTTCTCTGAGCAATGACAACACTCAGTTGTCTCACGGCAGCCTAATTAAATATTTTATTTTTTGTGCTTAACTAAATGCATCCAATAATATTGTTTCACGGCAAGGAATTAGATGAAAAAATAATTTTAAAAACAAACTATGCTTAAGGGTAGGGAATTTGGCAAACTATATTCAAGGATAGTGTAAAAAACAGACTATACTCGAGGACAGGAAAACAAACTATATCCAAGAATAGGAAAACAAACAAACTATATACTCAATGATAAGAAAACAAACTTTACTCCACTTCCCGATGCGTTTTCCACAACTTCCTCCTCCCTACGTCTCCCGTTTCAGCCTTCGCCCCCACACCCTTTCAGTTTATGTTTTAGTCACCATTCCTACCTCACAAAGAAAAGTTTAGCGGCAATTAATGTGGTGCCACAACTCGGAATCCTTTCCCTAAGCGGGCTAAATATCCCCCCTCGTAAAAACTTTGGCAGCAACAAGGTCTCCACTCTCTTCAAGCCTCTTGCGCAAGTTTGTTTTCCTCATCATGGAGAACAGCAGGGGCTAGGAAAAGTTTGCACGTTTCCTTGAATATTGCTCGGATTATAGGGAAGTATACGATTTAGATGCTCGTTAGCAAAAGAGGAGCGGGGTAATGAGGCTGCGGTGTTATGGAAGTTACAAGACGCAAGAACTTAATGTATTGCATTTAAGCAGGTACATGCTGTGTTTTTCTTGCGGTCTTTCGATACATAAAAATTTGGAGGATGAAGAAGTCGCTCGAGCAAAAACAGGACCACAAAAACTCACCCACGAAATTGGAAAGCGATACGCTGCGAGAGATGATTAAAAAACTTTTGGGGAAAATGGATGGCCAGACAGCCTGAGTAAAAAAAGGAGGGTCGAAGCTTAGGCAGTGCGGACGAATAAGAGGGCGTTTTACTGGATTCTAGGGAGAGAGGAATTTGTGGCTTGCCCAAAAGTTAATACCGAAAATTTTGTTCCCGCCCCTCTTTCTCTCTCTCTCTCTCTCTCTCCCCCTCTCTCTCTCTCTCTCTCTCTCTCTCTCTCTCTCTCTCTCTCCCTCCCTCACAACCATACGCAAGAGCCCTCTCTGAAGGTCATCTCTAACTACTGAGAGACATTCTGTCATGGTTTGCGTGCTTCGCAGAGAAATCGCCAGAACCCGCGAGCATCAAATCAAAAGTTTCTCTCTCCCCCGCTAACCCTTTTGTCTTTTTCTCTCTCCTCTCCTCTCTTTGAATTTTCTTCCCCGTCTTTTCCTTCTCTGCCTTTGTTCATTCTGTTTTCTATTCTCGGCTTATATTTTTGCTGTCTCTGCGGTCGCCCTGCGATGATATAATATTACAGAGGACCTAAGTCGTCTTTCCTGACAAAAGGCTATATTTTTCAGATGAAAATGTTTTTCAAGATTTAGCTTTACAAGGAAGGATAATGAGGCGTCTCTATGACCAATGTATAAAATGTATACCTATATATATAGCAGAATATATAAATCTTATAGACATATTCAAATAACTACCAATGCTTTTTAATGATAATTCACCTCCGACAGAATTATTACCATTGTCCTCCAAGGATAATGGGCGAATGAAGACACATGGAAGAAATACTTCACAGCATTATCATTTCCTTCTTGGAATAGATAGTGTATTTGAAAATACGACATATTAAACAAACCCTAAAAAAAAAATTAACTAGTAACATTTCATGGAAACGATTGAAGGGCACTTCTGACTGGTGGAGATACTTTACAGTCGTTCTTTCATTTCTGTGGTTTTTCTTTTTTCCAAGAATTGTTTTAGCGATTTACTTTTGTTTGGCATAAAACAACAACAACAACAACAGCAACAACAACAACAACCAGAAATGAATAAATAAAAAGCAATTTTTAAAAATCCACCAAAGCAACAAGTAATAGCTCTTGCTCTCAAAATCATTTGTCCTTGTTTTTTTTCTGCAGGTCAGCGTCATGACGACGATGTGTCCATTACGTCATCACAGGAAAACTTTGACCCGGAAGAGGATGTGGACATGTGTGAGGACGGTAAGCACCACACGGGAGACGAGGACAGTGACGAGGAGAAGAGGAATGCAGACGACACAGGAAACGGAAACATCAGCGACAGTAGCAAGCAGGGAAAACCCCGCAGAGCGCGAACGGCCTTCACGTACGAGCAGTTGGTGGCCTTGGAGAACAAGTTCAAGACTACCAGATACTTGTCCGTGTGTGAGCGCCTCAATCTTGCTCTCAGCCTCAATCTCACAGAGACACAGGTTTGTAATCTGTTGTCTTTTTAGACATTTAGTCTTGATTAGTCTCAATTACAACAACAACAAAAATGATAATAAAAATAAAATAAAGAATTTGTGGGTGTTTTCTTACGTGCCCATTTACACAATTTAGATCATTTAGGAGGTGGGCTTCCCACCCATGTCCAACCGCTACAACAACCCGGGCTGAGAGGCATGCAACATCCCAGTAGAAAGACCGAGATGCTCGATAGAAATGGAATTAATGTTCTCCTTACTCAGGAATCGAACTCGTGTCTCCAACGTGCGACAGCGAAGGACCCGACCGCTACTTAACAGACACCGGTGATTATTCTCAATCTGACGAACAAGATAGAATTCTCTTTATTGCGTCCCGAAAATTGGCAAACTTTCCAGACTTACGTTACTCGGAACTATAGTTTTGCTTATCTTGGGGCTGCAGTTCAGCGCCAAGTAACTTGAGGAACAAACTGGACGTGTTATTTCGAAGATATAAAATGTAATAGATTTTGGTTCACCGACTAGATCACAGAACTTGTTCATTATATAGCACTATTAATAATATTTTGGTAATGCAAGCGCCACGTTTAACCCTGGTCTCCTACTCTAATACTGGTTTGTTCTTAGTACCTCTACGATATTTATACATTTTTGTTGTAAATATTATATTGACCACGCGAGCCTTAAAGGACAGATTAGAGAAAGGTACATATTACTAAACTGTACAGGATGGAAATGAACAAAATCGTGTTTCAATGTATCTCGCGTTGATAATCTCTGTAACTGTCTGTTCCCCAGTGGTCAGCAATTTCTCTCATTATTATGTTGCTGTAGATCTATAGGTGCATATTTCAGACTTTACAGGTTTGCTTCCCATCTAAGAGAAGCCTATCTAAACTTTTCATTGGCTTTTGAGTATTTGAGCACATCCTGATAGGCATTAGATGAGCGGAAAGTAATGAGCAGGTTCTAATGTTAAGAGTTTTTTAAATCGAATAATTTTAATTTACAGGACATATAGTTTACTGCTAAATTCATTACTAAATTCTCTGTTAATTTGAACACGACGTAATGCTCCTGGTCTTTATCTTATGAGGATCAAAAAGGGCACGTAAACGTTGGAAAAATGCTTCACAACTATTTGAAGTTCACCTGCTGTGATAGACATCAAACTTGGCTAATTAGGATATTACTGAGAGCAATAGCGGTAAAGAAGAAGTAAGTGTTGCATAATACGCCTTTGATTTGGCGCTCCCCCTCTGAACTGGTATGGGAACGCGAGAAGATCAGTTGGGTAAGCCCCTGGATATGTGGAGGGTGACGCATGTTCGAACGTTTCGGACTATGTTAGAATAGTTCTACAGATTTTCTACCTCGTCTTAGTGGGGATGTGTGTTAGTTTTGATAACCACTTCGAAAGATGTACCGCTTTTTTCGAAGAGAGTTAAAAACTAAAACTGATGCTATTATTCTTACTGTTTGGTCGCACGGTATGGGTGTATAAAACAAACTGCCTGAGTATGTCCATTGAGAATACGTTACAACTGACACAACTGTGTTATTCATAAAGTTATACGATTTCTTTTTTCTTTTTTTCCAAAATAAATACGACTGTTAATGACATTACCATTATCTATCTATCTATCTATCTATCTATCTATCTATCTATCTATCTATCTATCTATCTTAAAATTGAAATGTCTTATATTATATGGGTCTAATACCAGGTTGTAAGGACAGATTTAACTGTAGTCATTCTACTCTGCAGGTCAAAATCTGGTTCCAGAACCGGAGAACCAAGTGGAAGAAACAGAACCCTGGCCTTGACGTCAACTCCCCCACCATCCCACCCACATCAGGCGGCTTCGGCTCCTTCTCCAGTCCTTACTCGAGCATGCTGTACGGCCAGTCAATCCACCCGTACCTGCCTGCCTCCGGACTCATGAGCCCCCTTAGCATCCTGAGAGCTCATGGCTCCTACAGCCCCGGACAGAACCCCACCGTCTACTACCCGTACTTCAGTCAGACAACGTGAGAGGGAGTTGATCTTTGAACAGTTACGATGAACGATTTTTGTGGTTAGGCGAATGTAGAGTGCCAGTGGTGCACACAATGCCGTGGCAGGCAGATTCAGCCCATTTGTGGCAGATATACTTTGTGGACGAGTGGGCATTTACGGTTCCGAAACAGTACACTTTTATTTGGGTGGCGCGGTAGACAAATGTGTCCGCCAAAGACAACCATACGCAAGAGCCGATGCCTGAAGGTCATCTCTAACTACTGAGAGACATTCTGTCACGGTTTGCGTGCTTCTCAGAGAAATCGCCAGTACCCGCGAGCATTAAATCAAAAGCTTTTTACCCAGGACCGGGAACGATAAAAGCAGTGGTATTTGCTACGACGTCATGAGGACATTTCTCGTGATACAATTTCCCTCTTCGCTGACACCCCTCATCCCCCGCCCTCATCCCCCCTCCCCTCACACTCACAAAGAAAGAAATCTACGTTGGTGTGTTGACACTGAAACTGAACTGACATATTGGGCAAAACTTGATATGCCCATTTTGTGAATCGAGAGAAATACGATGAATGTCTTTAAAAATGGACTTCAGAGAGAGCATTGGCGTTGGTGCTTGAAATACATCATAAGAACCTGCCACAAGAAAGCTGTGCTGCAGACGGTGCCTTCCGCAGAACTCTGGTCAAGATGACGTTTTTCAAAGAAGCGGTGGCTACGGTGTGTACAGGTCTATTTATTTCAGCATTAAAACATCGAGCCCTTTCACTTCGATTGCATCACCCGAACGGAACAGCCTGAAAATGTTTCCTATGTGGTGACGAACGTGACAAAGAATAGTCTCAAAGCCTGGTGTGCAGTGTACAGTTTGCAGACTGTGATCTTCCAGCTTCTGGCACAAGATGGTGAACTTTTGAAGGACGCTATGAAACGGTTATTATTACCTTCTCTTTCAGGTGCATGAAAGAGTGGTGTACATTGTAAGTTACTTGTATCGAATGTTGACTTTACTAGCAGTATTGTGTGCAATACGTTTAGCAATTTGGCGCGTTTATGCAGTTTTGTTTACTTTTACCATTTTATGTGCATAATATGTGTTAATGTTATCAGAGATCTTCCAGATGTAAATACGCTAAGGAGACAGTCTTTTGTCTGAGCTGTGTGAGTGATGTATTGCTATGTCGATAGCATAGATGAGTGTGTAGAAGGAAAACACGTGTGATTGAATCAGGAGATTTAATAAATTCAGTCCTCATCTTCCAGTCTCGTCTGCATCAGGGCGGTTGAATACTGCAAGCAGTGAAGAGGCCATTTGTTCTCTCTTCTTTCTAGTCATAGTTTTTTTTCTTAGGCTCTGCTCCTCTCAATGACTATAGCCGTAGAGCGCACCATTACCTCAGTGGGTATAACGATGATAACGTGTGACTCGTATTAGAATGGGGTGTTATTGAACTTGGGTTTTGAAGGCTCTTTACCAGCGTCTATGGTGTATCAGTTAGGCGTTTCACCGTCGCACACCAAAGCCTGGAGTTCGATTCCCGTGTCGGGGAGGACCTTTATCTAGTATTTCGGTCTTTCTGCTGGGATGCTGCATTCCTCTCAACGTGAGCTGGCCCTGACGGACAGGATCGAAGCCCGCCTCCTAAATGATCTCCATTGTGTCGATCGGGACGGACTTGAAGGAGACTGACTTTATAATTCGTAGGCCCTGCCTCTTTAGTAATCTTACAATGCTGAAAGGAGCGTAAATCCATACCATGCCATGTCCTTATGACCTAGTCTCCCCCTGCCTGTCTGTCACTGCCATTTATCCCTCGCCTGATTTGGCATAACATATCGATATTTGTATAGAATGAATTTTGCTGAGCTTCCAGAAAATCATCTATATGCAATTTTCAGTCAGACGCCAAGTGTTAACTGCTTTATGCAATTGGTCGAAATCTAAAATACTTTTCAAGATTTTTCTTTGCGCTTTGCCTCCACATCTAGTCGTGGCCCATATTTAACCTTTCGCTGCCAGCAATGTTTATGGTCATATCAAATAACTTACACAGTTAAAGTTGAGGCAGTGAAAGGGTTAATGGAGCATGTTGTGACGTTAGAGCTCACATTGTGCTGGGAAACCTGGAAATAGATTATGTATTGCTTGCTGTCTTCCACACATTAATCACTTTTTTCTATGTGATTATTCACGTTCCTTTTGGGGATTTTTGCCCTTCACCCCTTCCGCACTCTGTTTAACATAAAAGATACTCTCTTTTGAATATAGACAAAAGTTTTGCAATTGCAATTCCTGAGCTTCCAAGTAAACAAGTATGTATTCTAACAGCTGTCTTCCAAAAACAATCACAATTGCTGTCTGTAATATGTAATCTGTAACGTGTTGAATAAAGAGAGCAATGACATTAGTGCATTTCATGATCATAATATTGTTCGAGTTACGCTCGTGTGAAGAAGTCCATAGTTAACAAAAAAGAACCTGTTTAAGAAAGGAAACCCCCCCCCCCCCCCCCCCAACCAATTGGAGATGGGCTGTTTTTGTTTTTCTTTGGTGGGAGGGGTACTCATGCCGAACAAATAGGCCAAACGCCAAGGCAAGGTCTGTCTTTGGATCACATTTTACAAGCATGTTTTTAGAGGGTGAAAACAAGGTAAATGAATTGGGAATCGAATAGATTCTTTTTTCCCTATCTTAGCACAAGTCCTCGCCAGAATACGTCGTAAATACTTCGTAAGTACAGTTTTTTTCCCCCATTGATGCATAGCACGGCAGGGTTTAAACATTTCTTTCTTTCTTCGTTTCTTTTCCCTTCTTCTTTTTTTTCCCTTTCTTTCTTTCTTTTTTCTCTCTTTTATTTATTTATTTATTTATTTATTTATTTATTTATTTATTTATTTATTTATTTATTTATTTATCACTACTCTTTTTGGGTTAAAATCTATGAGTGTCTTTTGAGGGGCAAGCAGGTCAAACAGTTATTGTACACATATTAGTTTAGTCAATTGTACACCTCATAGAAATGACTGAATCCAGGCATGAAAAGGGTTCATGAGAATCTGCTTTTGTTCTTCGTTTCCCCCCCAAAACCGGTCGTCTAAACATTCGTCTTGTGTATACAGAAATCTCAAGCTTTAAGATCGTCAACTCTTTGGCGTGCCGGGGATATCAACGGGATTATAATTGATCCTCTTTTACACATTTGGTTCGTGGTATAGCACAATAAACATCTGTCTCAAGTTCTAAACATAATATATATA